CCCTCAAACCCACCAAAACCTTTCCATGGTCCCATTATCCTGGTGGATGATGTTTCCACAGGCTGCCTTTCCCTGTTTATTTAAATTGATTATAAATTTATTTAGATCCTCATAAAAAATCTGTAAAAAGCAGCTGCCTTCAGAGAATATTTGACACTAAAAATGACATTTGGGTCCAGACTCTTCAATTGTACCTGTGCAAAACTCCTCAGGTGTGAGGGATTCCATAAAACCATCCCAGGCAGGAATTCCTGCTTGTGTTGTGGAGCTTTTTCCCAGGTGCCATTCGTGGTTATTTTTTATTTTCCTGCCTCTGGAATCCCATTTTTGCCAGTAAATGAAGGCTGGCAGGACTGACCCTGCTCAGCTCTGAGGTGCCACTCCCAAGTGAAAGCATTTGCTGAACAAGAGTTGTGTCCCCCAGGCATTAAAATGATTTCTGATATTAAATTCATATCAATCCAAGGGCCCTGCTGACACTTTGCACCTTCCAAAGTGGAATTGGAACAATGCAACACGTGTAGGGTTTTGCCACCACTATTAAAGAAACCATTTCTCGTTGTCTGGGGCTCCAAAGCCATTCAGAATTCCAGGGGGACAGGGAAATTTAAAATCCTCAATCCTTGTGTTGATAGCAGCAGGGAAGGAACCCAAATCCCAACCCCCTGCTCCCAAATCCCTGCTCCCAAATCCCAAATCCCTGCTCCCAAATCCCTGAGGTGCTGCACAGCCAGGTTTGTGTTCAGGCAAGCCCCCAGCCCAGCAGGGAGAGCTGAAACATCCCCAGGAATTAAATCCCTTGGTAAAAAAAACCAAAAAAACCCACAAAAAACCTTTTTATTACAAATATATTCCACGAGGCCAACTGCAATTCTGAGGTGCATCCCAATCCAGGGGAAGATTCTTGCAGATAAAACACCTAAAATCTGGGTTATCCAATTTCCTGGCACATGTTAAAAAAAAAAAATTAAAAAAATGTGCCGTGGCAGAGTTTTAAGGATGGGGCTTTCCCCAGGGAGCAGCACCTAATCCTGAGGGTGCAGGGCACAGGGCAGGGAGGAGCAGTGATCACACTGCTGCAATTCCTCTGAAAGGTCAATTAATGCCTAATGTACCCTGAACAGAAAGATTTATTCATAACCCTGCAGTGCCTGTGCTCCCCTTTTGAATTTACAAACAAATAATTTTCCTCCTTATTCTTCCTCCCCCTGCAAGTGCCAGATGCCATTTCCTTTTTTTTTTTTTTTTCTCCCCCCTTTTTTTTTTTTTCTCTCTTGTTCTTTGTTCTCCTTTTACTGCCCTGCAGAAGCAGATCCTCTGCTGGCTGTAAGGTAAAAATACTGCCAAAAATCCCTAGAAAATGGTCCAATTCTGCACCCCAAACCCAACCTGGGGGTCGATTAAGCTTTAATTCTCTCCCTCTATTATCAGCAAAGCCCAAAGGCTGGAGAGGGAATCCTGGCAGGTTCCATTTGGCAGCATTTGACTCATCCAAGACAATGAATCCCGAGGCTGGCAGGCTGCCAAGGCCACAGGTGAGCTTCAAAAAAAAAGTGAATTTGAGCATTTGGGTGAAGTTACCAAATAATCAACATTTCCTCTCACTTCAGGGTTACCCAGCAGCCACAACAGCGGGGATGTTGAGTGGAGATTAGCAAATATAAAAGCTTTATAGAAATAAACACACTTAGAGATATCTAAGATTATTCTTAGTGGGCAGAAGAAGCAGAACACAGCGAGCACAGCGAGTCTGAAAGGCACAAAACATCACTGCTGGCACCGGCCACGTGAAACTCTTGCCAGCTACAGGTTTGAGAAGGAGAAGAAATGCAAAAAAAAAAAAAAAATCCCAGGAAAGCTACTGGGACTCGTTAAAATCCCAGGAAAGTTCTTGACTCCTGATTCTGGGGCTTGTCAGGGCACTGAACGTGTCCATCCCTGAGCTGGGGCAGGTGAGGACAGGGAGGAGCCACGAGGGAAAACCTGGCAGTGATGGAAGGGCTGTGCCAGCTCTGGGGACTCACCTGCAAACCCCAAAAATCCAGCACAAAACCCCAAAATCCAGCACAGGAGCCCCTGCCAGCTCTGGGGATTCACCTGCAAACCCCAAAAATCCAACACAAAACCCCAAAATCCCTTTATCTGCAGGGAGTGAGAGCCAGGGCACAGGGGCTGATATTCCCTGGGCCACCACAATAAATGTGGGCTCAGTTACACTGGAGCCCTGCACTGAGGTTCAAGTCAGAAAAGGCAGCTCTGCTGCTTTGTTCCAGACCTCCAGGGCAGCTCCAGCACAAAATTATTTCTCCTCTACAGGAAGCTGGTTAAAAAAAAAAAAAAAAAGAGCCAGGATAAATGAGCAGGAGGAATCATTATGGATTTTCAAGAAAAGCCTAAAAAAGGCCACATTCCTGGAGGTAGTGCTGATGTTTTCTTTTCAGTTTATTTGGCTGTCCAAAAATCCAGCCCTTGGCATTCAGGCTTTGAGTGGCAGAGGGACCCAGGAGTGTTTTAGGGGTGGTGACACCCCAAAATCCTTGTCGTGTGCCACCAGGGCCACTTGGAGATGAGACAGCCTCCCCTGGCAGGCACCCACTTGGCTGCCAGCCCACGGAGTGCCTGGGAATAAAGGGCAATTTACATCCCCAGCTAAAAAAAATCCTGGCTCTGAAGGAACACGGAGTATTTCAGGACTATTGTCAGGGAACCCATGAGACAGCAGCCAGCAGCTGATGTGACAGCACCAGTTCAAGCTGGGATGTGTGGAATTCATCTTGGAATTCAAATTGAAAACTTGCCCAGCTACCACAGTGGGACCAAGCTGAGCCCCAGCAAGCAATATCAGCAAATGCAGCTGAAGGATTTGAACCAGATTTGAACCAGATCAAAGATGAGGACTGGGAAGACTCAGGAATAACCAAACTTTAATTGTTTAACTGGTGACAAGCTGCAATGAATACTTTAATTAACAATTAAGGGTTTAACGCATGCATGCTGCCAAAGGTAGATGTTAAATCACTTCAGCACTTTTCAATTGTTGCCATTGTTTTACATGGGAGAAGGCAAAATTGGGAATATAAGCTGTGGAAATAAGAGCTCCTCCAATTCCTGCTGTGAGCAGGGTGAGTTTGGAGATCTGTTGAAAGCAGTTATTTTAAATGATAATAAAGTTCTTTCCACAGATCCTGCAATACTTCCAAAGAGCACAAGTCACTGCAAAAATCACCATTCAGAAAGACAGATCATCCACACCTTTCAGAAGCCCAGGGTTTTATATTTCTAACTCTGTTCTGGTTTTCTATCACCTCTTATAATCAGCTTCAGTTTTACACATGCAGTGAACTCTGCCACCAGAGCTTCCCTGCAGGACAATTCCTTCCTTGCTCCACCTGCTCCAAAACTCCTCCTTTTCCCACCCCACATGTCTCAGTGACAGCTGGGCCTTGCTCACACTCCCAGGCTGGACAGGGAACCAGGCTTAATTTAAGATCAGACTTAATTTAAAGAGCAAACAAAACAAAGAGTTAGGCATCCCAATCGTGCTGTTTGCTCAGCCTGGCTGCTTTGCCCATAAACCCAGGATGCTTCCTCCTGATAAATGCATTTACTGGGCCTGTGTAAGCTGATGGGGACAATTAAGATAAGCTGAATAAATAACTGCAGTAATTACAAGAATTTAGACAACTGTAGCTCTGTGAGAAGCTATCTGTATGTGATCACCGAGTTATGGAGTGGAGAGTGAAAAAATATTGAAACCAAAAAAAAGAGAAAATCCCAAATCCACGTAGGAGAACCTCCCTCTGCTTAGATTTCCAAAGGGAAAACCCTTCCCACTATTTCTCTTTCCTTTCCGTGGGACAGCACTCTGAGGACACTGATTGTTTCTGTTTAGCAAAAACACCACGTGAAACAAAGGCTGAAAATCCCATTCCTGAGCCAAAGCATCCCAGGAGAGGCCAAGTCCCCCAGGATTCCAGCAGCTCTTCCTGCTGCACACCCCCAGCTCCTGGAGCTCCTCTGATTCCTGATTCCCCCTCCTTCTCTCACCCCACCTTCCCTGCCAGTCATCTCAAAGTGACTTTTTGAAACCCAGTTATAAGCAATTCCCGGTATATCTGAATCATTCTCCACCTTGAATAATAATTTCTATACGAGGGATGTTTGTCTTTGCCATTCCCAGGCAGCGTTTTCCCAAAACCTGAAAGTCTAAAGCACAAAAGCTCTCTACACTCACAGATTCACTACAAGTGGGATAAGCAGCACACTGGGACAATTTTATTCCTGTCACAGCTCCCCAGCAGCTGCTTCCCTCATGCAAAGTTAACATCTGAACTGTATGAGCTCGCTCAGGTTTCCAGGCACTGCATTCATCAACCCCACTGAACTAGAAACAGAAATGGGACAGCAGCACATTTACTACAGCTCTCACAAGCTTCAAAGCCTCCCCTGCCCCAAACCCCTGCTGATGGAGAAATGCAGAATTATTGCGTTTCACGCAAAGTCTGACATGTAAATACTCTTTAAACAGACTCACAACGACGGTGTCGGGACACAAAGGCGGTTTTGGTGCGTTCTGCCTGCGAACACCAAGAAAACACATCCCGATTGCCAGGATGAGGCACATCCCACGTGCGCCTCACTCCAGCACTGTTTCCTTCCTCATTCCCCAGGGCAGGGGTGACTCGGGCACCTGCTGTGTCCCCACCACCCCAACCCATCCATCCCTGCTGCGGGAATTCCCAAAAAAAACCCCTCCTTGCTCCCACGGCTCTCACACCTTCCACCGCACGGAAAAAACAACTTTGTAACACCGTGCCTGAGGAGCCGAGCCAGCAGCCCAGCTGTCCTGCTGCTGAACCGCTGCTCAGTGCCGGCCTGAGCCTCTGGGAACGAATAAAAACGGGGAAAAACCTCCCCGAGGAAACACCGGCGAGGCTCGGAGCGCTGCCACCTCCGAGCCCCCGCAGCGGGGCCGCCACCGGGCGCAGGCCCCAGCCCAGGGCCGGCTCTGGCCGCTCCCTCCCGCCGGCCCCGGCAGCACCTTGGCCAGCAGCTCGGCCAGCAGCTCGCCCGGCTCCGCGGAGCCCCGGGGCGCGGAGGGCCCGGGGCGGGGCAGCGCCTGAGGGGAGCCGGGGCGCCATGACGGTGCCAGGGCCGGGGGGCGGCCGGGGGGCCCCGGGACCGCGTTCCGCCCGCTCCCGGCGCCGCGGCGGCCGCTCGGTACCTGCCGTAGATGCCCTCGGTGATGCGGTTCCGCTTGAGCGGCCGCCGCAGTTTGCTGCAGTCCGCGCTCCGCCGCTTCATCCCGCCGGCCCGGCCCGGCCCGGCCCGCCCCGCTCACGGCAGCACCATCCGCCCCCGCGGGGGATTCCCGAGCGCGGGGCTTTTTTTTTTGGTTTATTTTTCTTTTTTTCCTTTTTTTTTCCTTTTTTTTTTCCCCGGGAAACAAAGAAATAAAAATAATTCCTGGTCCGTCCCTCCCCGCCGTGTCCCCCTGCGCAGCCGCCGCGCAGCGCCCCGCCCCCCCGGCGCTGACCAATCAAACGGCTGGCTCCGCCTGAGTGACAGCACCTCTGACCAATCGGTAACGGGGAAAGGCGGACAGACGGTCGAGTGGGCCAATGGCGGTGCCAGAAAGTGGAGCCCACCTCGTGCCGTGACGCGGCACGCCCACCACCGTGAGTGACGGCCCTGTGACCCAATCAGAGAGGAGAATCTGTGACTGATGGCCTGTCAACTAATCACCATGCGCATTTCCGTCTCCTCCTGCCTACTGTGCTGCAGCCTGGTTCCCGCCCCTTGCGGTGACCGACAGAAAAACTGCCCAATGGAAGCGAAACAGAAAAATAAAAGGACAGCTCAACCATCCACTCGGAAACGGAAGAAGGAGGGCTCAATTTCCTCTGTCACCGTAGCACCGAGGTGCCACCTCTCCCGCTTGATTGACAGCCTCGCTGGCAAATGGGCAGTTGGGGAAGGGGGGCAATGTCTCAGGTGCGAAGCCAGGCAGTGACAGCTTGTGACAGCGGCTGCCGCCCCCACAGCGCGGCCTGCACTGCCGGCTCACCCGAGGGCAAAATAACCCTCGGGGTGACCGACGGGCCGCGCCAGCCAATGAATAGCGCGGTTAGCTGAGTGACAAACGACCGGACCATTGGCAGTGCAGGACGCGCGGCCCACAGACGACCTGTGCTGGCGATGGACCAATCAGAAGCCAGAAGGGCCTGCTCTCGGCCAATGGGAGCGCAGTCCCTAAGGGCGGCCTGTGGGGAGGAGGCGGGCGTTCAGTGAGAGGCGGGGCCGGGCGGGTCCCGCCGCCGCCGCCGCCGCCACCGGGGGCTGCCGAGTCACGACCCGGCACCGATACCGACACCGACACCGACACCAGCAGCGCTGTGGGCCCGGCTCCAGCGCCGCCCGGCTGAGCCCCCACCGCAGGGCCCGCGGTTGGGGTCTCTGTGGAGCCCCCGCCCCGAGGCCCGCGGCCCCTGTGGTGTGAGGGAGCCGTGAGGGGAACAATGGCGGCGCCGCTCCTGAGGGAGGCCGGAGCGCGGGCAGGGCCCGGCTCTGGCTGGGTGGAGGTGGCGGTGCCCGCGGCCTGGGCTGGGCCTGCCGGGGGCTGAGGGATCTCCCACAACAAAGGGCGGGCAGTGATGGGCTGAGCGTGAGGAGCGCAGGGCCCAAAAAAGCCTTAGAGCTGTCCCAGAAAGGGGCTGGGCTGAGTCATGAGGGGAGTTATAACTTAGAATGGACTATCGTGGATTTGTTTGGGCTGGAAGAGACCTTGAAGATCATCTGGTTCCACCCCTGCCATGGCAGGGACGCCTCCTGCTGTCCCAGGCTGCTCCAAACCCCATCCAGCCTGGCCTTGGGCACTGCCAGGGATCCAGGGGCAACCACAGCTGTGCCAGGGCCTTACCACTCTCTGAGAAATAATTATTTCCTAATATAAAAGTTACTTTGTGCTTTACCCTGTCAGAGATCACTGTCTTTGGTCTCTGGCAGTGTAAGCTGCAAATCCGAGCATTACATTTACAGTGTGTCATCCTGAGGGGAAATGGGTGAATTCTTCACCTTTGGGGTGTTTTCCTGGATGTTAACACTGCTGGGATTTAGTAACAAATACACAATGGCTCATTGAATTAATTCCTAAATTGCTGCTTGAGCTATTACCATGTCTAGAAAAAGTTCACCAAGTTCTGGCTCTGTCTGAATTCCTCAGACATAGAATTCCCAGAAAATGCACCTGAATGTGGATCTTTCTGCATCAGGATTTTCCTGAAGCCAGGGCAGTGCTTTGCATGCCTGGGAATATTTTTTTAATGTTTAGAAATTTTTGAAATGGGTGTTTGTTAGGCTGGGAAAAGGCTTTGATATTAAAGTGATTTGATATTAAAGCAGTTTGATGTTGGGTATGTGGAAGGTTCAGGCCATCACCACAAATCCAGACCTTGCACACATGCTTTGCACGCTGTTTTTGTGCCCTACAGCCTGGGACAGACTCAAATTTGAGTGACCTGTGAGTTTTGTGTGTGTATTTTTGCTTGATAAATGTCCCTGTCACCAGCAGGTGGCTTTATCCCCATTTCTGAGCAGTTCCTCCCCATTTTTGGGCTCTCCTCAGGCTGTGCTGTGCCAGCTCGGCTCTGGGTTTGTGACAGCCTCAGAGCAGAGCCTGAGCTGTCATTTTAATTTTAATTTAATCTGAGCTGCCTGGACAAAGAGGGCTCAGTTCACTGAGGCACAGTGAATACTGAGGAGGTTCCTCCAGTGCCTAAAGGGGCTTATAAAGGGAGGAGAGGGATTTTTATATGGCAGGACAAGGGGGAATGGCTTTGAACTAGCAGAGGGCAGGGTTGGAGTGGATATTAATAAGAAATTCTTTATTCACAGGGGCTGAGGCCCTGGCACAGGGTGCCCAGAGCAGCTGTGGCTGCCCCTGGGTCCCTGGCAGTGCCCAAGGCCAGGTTGGATGGGGCTTGGAGCAACCTGGACAGTGGGAGGTGTCCCTGCCATGGCAGGGGTGGCACTGGAGGGGCTTTAGGGTCCCTTCCCACCCAAAGCACCCCATGATTTGTGCTATGGATCCATAAAGTGTCCCTGGAGCTGATCCTACAGCAGCACAGGAGATGCTGCATCTCCCAAATCCCTGAGAGAGAAAGGACAGCAACACACATGGACTTTTTTTGGGGGGGAAAAGGCCAATTTATTGTACAGACAGTTTGTATTTAAAGTGTGTTAGTGCAGCCAGGACAGGACAGGAGCTCATTGGACAATTGGGAAAAACATCCTTGGGACACCACCTCAGGATGTGTCCCACGGGAAAGACACCAGGGGTTAATGTTGATGATGAATTCCACTCTGTTTGTCACCGTGTTGTCACCCTGGGAGACTCCTCCCTAACTGAAGCTGCAGTCAGCTTGTCAGCCTGGGAATGGAGCTGAGAGTCAGGAGAAATCCAGGCCTGGAAAAGAATTTCCAAGCTGGAATTCCCCAGCTCTGTGAATGTGTGTGTCCACGCAGTGGCAGTGCCAGGAGCAGTGACAGTGCCAGGAGCAGTGACAGTGGCAGTGGCAGGAGCAGTGACAGTGGCAGTGGCAGTGCCAGGAGCAGTGACAGTGCCAGGAGCAGTGACAGTGACAGTGGCAGTGACAGTGGCAGTGGCAGTGACAGTGGCAGTGGCAGTGCCAGGAGCAGTGACAGTGGCAGTGGCAGTGGCTGTCCCGTGCCCACGGGCACTCTCTGAGCTCAGCCCACAGGAGCTGCTCTGAGTTTGGGCTCCTGCCACACCACAGATAAGGAGCTGCTGCTCCCTGCTCACGCCTCTTGGCCTTTTTATCTCAGTGCTGGCCCCCACACCTCCCGTGCTGTTGGTGTGAGGGCGCAGGGACATTCTGAGAGGGAAAAGGAGCCATTGCTGTGCTGCTGCTCCATGCAGGCAGGCCACGATGCCTTCCCGTTACCTGAGCTTCCGCTGCAGCGTGCCCTGGCTCCTCCTCCTGCTGCAGGCTCTGTTCCTCAGCCGTGCTTTCTTTGCCTTCCCAAGTGCTGATGACATCAACTTCTCATCCAGCGTCTACCCAGGTAAGCCTTGCACGGTGCTGGGAAAGGAGGGCTGGTCCCTGCTCCTGCTGGGGGCTCTGTTGGTGAGAAGCAGAATGGTTTTGTTGCTCTTTGGACTTGCCAGGAGTGGTGGGAGTTTCTTCGTAGGTGTGATGGGGATCCAAGACTAAATTGTATTTTTGGTCAGTTTTCTGTTGGGTTTTTTGACCTCTCAGCCCCCATCCTGTGGCATCCATTCAGATCACTGTGCATTCTTAATTCAGCATTAAGGGTGTTTTTTCTCTGATTATAGACTGGAAAGAAAGCTCTGGAGTTCTTGGCAGGCTCTAAACAATAGTGGCACTTAAATTTGTATCTGAAGGCTTCTTAGTTAATTGTAATTTTTTAATTGATTTTCTAAACCAGAAATCTGCATTAATAAGTTCACGGCTGACTTGTTCTTTTCTGTCCTGCAGTATTTCAAGATGTCAACCACATGGTGATTTTTGGATTTGGCTTCTTCCTGATGGTTCTGAGAAGATATGGCTATAGCAGCACTGGATTCAACTTCTTGCTCATTGTTCTTGGTGTCCAGTTCTCCGTGCTGGTAGAAGATTTATTACTTCTCCTTAGGATCCAGTACAGTGCATTTGGTGTGGAAAGGTAATGAGCTCATGTCAGAGCTGGGCTAACCCAGAGCTGCTGATTGCTCCTTCCAGGGCCCTGCTAGGGCTGAGCAGAGGCACTTCTGGAGGCATTTTGGAGGGCTGTAGGTTTTTAACTGCATGGTTCTGTGTTGTTCCTTTTCATTGGCCCTGCTGTCACTCTGAGACTGAGTTGTTTTCCTTTCCTTTCTTTCTTGCAGTCTAGCAAGGGCTGTGATGAGCATGACTGCTGTGGTCATCTCTGCTGGGGCTGTGCTGGGGAAGGCCAATCCTGTGCAGTTAATTGTGATGAGCCTGGTGGAATTAATCCTTTTCCATGTGAGCAGATGCATCAACAGCAAATACCTGAAGGTACCCTGGTGGGATTTTCAGATACCTGGGGGGAAATGTCGCTGGAGCTTTGGAGCAGCTCTGGCAGGAGCTGCAGCAGTGTGGCCTGGAGCAGCCCCCAGAGGGGAATGTTGTGTTGCTGCAGGTCCCAGAGAACCTCACCCTGATGCACGTGCACCTCTTTGGAGCCTACTTTGGTCTGGCAGTGACCTCCCGCTTCCCTGAGCCCCCCCCGGGGCTGGACAAGAACAGGAGCAGCCCCAAGTCAGAGCTGTTCTCAGTGCTGGGTGAGTCCTGGGCTGGAATGGCTCAGCTGCAGCAGGGCCTGCAGGAGGAGCATGCCTGGGGCTTTAAATGCAGGATGCAGCTCTGAGTGCAGCCAAGCACAGCAACTGCAGCTCTGCTTGCTGGTTTGTGACAATGGCCACTTCCTACCTGGCCCAGAGGCCACTGCTGCCACACGTGGGGCTCAGTTTGCTCTGTCACCTCAGCATGAAGGCTACTCCAGGCTCACAGCTCTTTCTCCAGGGTCACCACTCCCTTTCCTGGCCAGGTTGCCCCCCCTTGGCTTGCCCAGGCTGAGTGCCAGAGCTGAGCTCATAACTTGTATTTCAGCAGAGCCCAGGCTGCTTCTGCAGGTGGTGCACAGAGATAGAAAGGGGCAGTCCCTGCTGCTAACACAAATAAAAAGATAAAGCCTGGTGGAGGGTGGGGAGTGTCATACAGGCAGGCCCATGAGACAGGAGCTGGGGGAGGACAGGCTCAGTGTCTGGGACTTTAATTCCTTTTCTTATGGAAGCAATTTGGTGGCTTTATTACCTTCATTAACTTCTGTAGTGCAACTGCCACCAGCTGAGCCCAGAGCTTCCTGCAGGAGTCCACAGAGACTCATTTTCACTCAGTCTTTGCCCAGTTTAGGGAATACAAAATTTAAATGCTGCTCTTTTGTGTCCCTGGAATTGTTGTTTGCTGTTTATTTCCAGAGCTGAGCAGATACTCATAAGAATGCTTCAGTAGATTTTATATCCATATTTATATAGACTAACTGCCTAATCAATGGGAATAGGATGGATCATCTCCCAAGTCCTCAGTGCCACCATAATTTTAGAAATGGCCTGTCCTGTCTGAGGCAGGGTTATCTCTGCCTTGGAGCACTGAAATCATGGATATTAGCAATGCAAACTGGATTCCACAGAGCCAAGACAAGCTGGTACAAAATCAGTGCCTGCCAGGGCTGCTGGGAACTGGATTTGTGCCTCACAGTGACAATGCCTGTGTCACTTGTTAGAGCTCTTGGACAAGAACACATCAATGTCCCTGTCAGGTGGATTGCACAGGGTCTGGGGTGGGGAACACAACATCAGGGATGGGAGAGGGCTGGAAACAAAACACAGCAGCTGGGCAGTGCCAAAGGAGCCAAACACTGCTGCTTGGGGTTGGTGTCTGAGCACAGCCCACAGGGCCCTGGGCCATCAGCCCGAGCTGCTCTGAGGCCACCACGTCCCTCTGCTGGCTGGAATTCCACCTGTGCACGTGAGTACTGCATCCTGCCAGGCAGGGCACTGCCCAAATGCTGACCACGAGGGCCACAGAAGAGCAGAACCTCTTTTCTGTTTTCATTCTGTTAGAGAAGCCCGTGTGCTCGTGGGGCTGTGACACTGCCAGCTCCTCTCTGGGAGAGCTCCTAGAGGAGCTTTGGGAATCCCAGTGAGTGCACACTGCTCCAGACAGGCAGTGATGGTTCCTGTCCTTCAGAGCAGCTCCTGAGGGTCTCTTGTCCTTGTCCCCAAGGCACTGTGTTTGTCTGGATGTTCTGGCCAAGCTTCAATTCCATCCTGGCTGAGCTCCAGTTCCAAGCAATGCTCAGCACGTACTTGGCCCTCGCAGTGAGTGCTGTGGCTGCCTTCATGTTGTCTGCTCTGACCTCCAAGGATGGCAAATTCAGAATGGTAAGGAGCAGGGAACACCCTGCCTGCCCTTCTTCTGTTCAAACAGATTTTCTGTACCCTCAGGACTACACTGGAAGTAAAAGAGCTGGGAACTGAAGCCAAGGCCAGGGTCTGACAGTCACAGACTCACAGAGGGGTTTGGATGGGAGGGGGCATCAAAGATCACCTCATTCCACCCCTGCCATGGGCAGGGACATCTTCCACTGTCCCAGGCTGCCCCAAGCCCTGTCCAGCCTGGCCTGGGACACTGCCAAGGGCAGCCTCAGCTTCTCTGGGCACCCTGTGCCAGGCCCTCCCACCCTCACAGGGAGCAATTCCTTCCTAATATTGAACCTGCACCTTCCCTCCTTCAGTTTAAAGCCATTGCCTCTTGTTCTATCCCTACAAACCCTTACAAAAAGCCCCTTAACTCCCTGTTGTTGTTGTTGTTGTTGTTGTACAGGCTCACATCCACAGTGCAGTCCTGGCTGGAGGGGTCACCATGAGTTTCACAGCAATCATCATCAAGCACCCTTGGATTGCCATGATTTTGGGGCTGCTTGGCAGTGTCATCTCCATCCTGGGATCTCACTGTCTGCAGGTAATGCTCAAAGCCCACAATGCTTCTTGGCTGAGCTCTAGAAATTTCTTTTCCAATGCAGGATACCTGAGGTGTTTTGAGGAAAGTGCAGGATTGCAGCTCACGAGAGCAAATCCATCCTCTGGGCGTGCAACAGCTGATCTGCAATTACCAGCTTGTGTTTCTGGGTGTCAATTAAACCTTTTCCTCTTCCCAGAGGTGCTTTAATCCTCCTTTGAAGCTTCAGGATACTTCTGGAGTTCATTTCACTTTTGGTTTGCCTGCTGTGCTTGGAGCTGTGGCCGCCGTTGTTCTCCGTGTGGTAGAAAAAGGGATTATTGAACAATGGAGTGATTTACCCAGGTACATAAATTCTTGTATTAAATAATGAAGAGAAATAATCGGGGTGGGGGGGAGAAATCAGAGTGCAGCATGAGGGCCTGACTTCTCAACAAATTTAATGAAGCCTTAACAGCAAAAGGATGGACAAAATAAATCCTCTGAATTCTGCATTAGGCTTCTGGTATGTTCCTAAAACATCTCACTGCAGATTTGAGAATTACAGCTTCTATGAGAGATTTTGATAGATGCAGATTCATTCACAGTGTTGATGTTAAATAAAAGGTGAAACACTTTTTTTTTTTTTTGCTTTTCAGTCTGGGTTATTTGATCTTTCTTGAAGTTGGTGCCTTCTGCCAGACCATCAGCACTGCCTTTATAACAGGTTTGATTACAGGTCAGTACTGAAACATCCCAGGAATTCTTTTATTTCATTGGAGCAAGATTCTGTGGGTAAATCACTGGTGGAATAAATGGAAACAACCAATGCCAGGGCCTCTCCCCAGCCGGGCTTTAGAAGAAGAAACAGAAATAACCCAGCAGCACCATTCTTTCAGTGCTGACATTTTATTTTAACCAAGGTTTAACAGCTGCCTTCAACCTGCAGACAGGAGAGGTGTGAAGATGAAAATATTTCCACTTTTGGGAAACATTTCCACTTTTGTCTTAGTGACAGAAGATGCCCCAATCTGGGGCTTGTCACTTTTTAGGCCATTTGGAGCAAAGTTTCAATAACATCAGGAGCTGCCTCAGCCCAGCTGCAGACCTTTGATCAAGAGATTTTGGGATTTTTGGGACTTTTTTTGCTGCTTTGGGAGCAGCAGCACTCACGTGGCTCCCATGGGATGCCCTGGTTTGTGGCAGCTGCTGCTTTTCCCCAGCCCCAAATTCTGTCTGGAGTAACAGAGAAATGGCCAATGAAAATTGCTCCTATGGGGATTTTTGGAGGGTTTTCATTGATTTAAACCTTTGCATTACTTTCAGTGTAATGAAGAAGGAATAGATTTTTGGAAAACATCCAGCTGAAATAACCAAACATTCAGAGTTTAACCAATTGTTTAAAACTCCAGAGATTCCCATCAGAGATCCCAAACTAACAGTGCTGATAAACCAGATTGTTTTAAATACACAGGCACTTCTCATGCAAGAAATTCATCATTTTGAGGTATTTTCATCATCTAACAGCTGTTAAATGGGCTTTTACCTAAAGTAATTCATTTTTAGTATCCCAAGCTTTGATCCTGGCAAGTCTCTTTTTGTATTTAAGGCCAGCTCGAGTCAGGGAACTCTGCTGGAGGATTTAGATCTGAATTTGTATTTTTGTATTTTTGCATAAATGTTGCCAAGAAACTCCTCCCCTTGCCCTGGTGTTTATGTTTATTTTGGATCTCTCTCTTTTTACCAACAGGTTTAATCTTAAACATCAAACTGCTTAAAGCTGTGCATGTCTCCAAGTACTTTGATGATCAGTTTTATTGGGAGGTGAGTTTCCAAATGATTTCACACTCCCTGTGGGGGAGTTCAATTAGCACCTTGATGAAGAACTCCAGGTATTTGAATTAAATTTATGGGGGAAAAAAGGGCTATTGCTTTTCCCAGCATATTGTGATGCACAAACAGTCCTTGGGCACCCTTAGGTGCTGATGTGAGGCTGTGTCTGAATCACAGGAATAACAAATGGGTAAATAAGCTTTTAATCAGCTTTTCCATTGATTTGGGTTTTTTTTTTTCCTATAATTTCATATGTTCTGATAGAAGAATGTTTGTGTTCACAGTTTCCTCACTTGTCTGTTGGATTCTGAGTGGAGGATCCCAGCTGACACACAGGAACCAGATAAGATTTTCCTCTTTATCACCAGAAAAACTGAACAGCTCTGGTGGGTTCAGACAGCACTGAAACACCAATTCCCAGGCCCACAAAAGCCACCCCAATGGACACTCAAAAATGAAACTGTTCCAGTTATTCCTGAAAGATCCAGAGTGTGAATTCACAAATGCAAACTTCACATGCACTCAGCTTTTCTGCTTTGTTGCCCTTACCTTAAATATTTTCTGTAAAATATGTACAAAAGAAGTCGGCTGCATTCATGGCTTATCAATCCCAGTGCTTGGAAACATTCAACTATTTTTAGCTCCCGAGTTTACAAGGCAAAAGGATGGATTTGGAAAGAGTCATTTCTCAAGGAGCACTTCTCATCCAGCAAAGCACTCAAGTTTTTAAGCTGAATTGATTCTGCTGAAGGCCTTGACAAGCCAGGATTTGATGAATGAATCTGGAGCAGGGCCAGAACTCTGCATCCTGCCAGACTGAAACAAATCTGGCATTACTTGGCTTGGGCTGGATGTGTTGGGAGGTTCTGATGGCAAAAAAAAAAAAACCAAAAAGTTCAGTAGTGGATGGTGCTCCTGAAACCCCTGGGGGCTGCCAGCTGTAAAACACAACCAGAGCTCAGTGTCTGGGAGGGGACAGCCTGGCCCAGCACAGGGGGAATGATCCTCAGTGCTCCAATCTTGAGCCAGCACCCAATTTTGGAAGTGCAGGGACTTGGATTCTCTGCCAGTGAACGCTGGTTTTTAATTGGATTGTCATCCTCAGTGTTTCTCACTTTCAAAAATAGTTGACACAGAAAATCTTCCAGCAGTGCTTACCTAATAAAGGAGTGAAAACCTGGCTGTTTTTTTTTTTTTTTCCCTTCAGCACCCTTGTGAGGAATGAATGAATGAGGGAGCTCATGACAAGGCCGAGTGCTTTGATGAGGCTCACTGGCCTCATTCACTGCCTGGGATGAGCTGATCCCTGCAGCTACAGAGGGAAGGAATGCAGCCTTGCAAGGAAGGGCCAGTTTGCCTTGTTCCCAGCTCTCAAAATGCCAGCAGGAGCTCAGCAGCTGCCCAAAGCTTCTGCACACAACTGTGAGTTGTTCCTTCCTCTTTGTCACCACAGGATAAATGAAATGTTCAAGGGATGGGGGGGTGGGGAAAAAGAATCCCAAACCACCACAGTTCTGAATTATACAAAAAAAGTCACACACCAAGTTTTGAAATTGAAGAAATGGTTATATTGCCCAGATATAGGAAATAGTTAATAAATATCTGTTAAAAGGTTATTTTAATGCAGTTTTAGTAAGTCTTGGATTGTAAATAACATCATAGAAACAGCTGGTTAAATACATCCATATCCCACTGTCCTTTTATTTGTAACAAACATCATTTTAGAAAAGTGACTCCACCGTTGTTTGCAGCAATTTTACATTTCTCAAAAACACCACAACACTGAAGTGGACGTACAAGAGTAAAAAAAAATAACCAGAATAGAGCTGGATTTAGTGCATTCAGCTTTCCTCGATTTCTCTTCAGACACAATGGAAGGTTTTACAAAATGGTTTTACAAAACTTTGGGGGTTGCAGGTAAAGCCCAGGGCACTCCAGGGGGGTTCACTGCCACAAATCCTCTGTGCGACCAAACTTGAACACCAGGCCCCTGTGGGAACACCACAAATCAAACCCCTCTGGTTTCAAACACAGCATTTCAAGGGGTGTCTGTCAACCCAATTCCTGTGCAGGCACATCCCAGTTTATTTACACGAGGCCTGGTTACAAAACGGGACTTTAGGACCAACCAGATCAAAGCAAGTTTCCAGTTTTTTATCATTAAAAGCCAATTAAATAGGAAACAAATAAAAGAGGGCAGTCTTACCCAAAAAAGATGAATGCATTCTGGAAGAACACAGCTATTCCTGGGTACACCACTGGTTTTTCTAAGAGAAAAAAAATTCCCCATACATTTTTTTGGAAGTAATTTTCAAGCATGTCCCATTCCTGACATGTCATTTTCCCTTGTGCTAATTTAGCAGAGAGGCTTTGGGAGCAATCTGCAGGAACTCAGTAATTTGTATTCTGAGAATAATTAATATTCACCCAGGGAATTATTCCCTTAAAACTGCAGCAGTTTAATTATATCCATGGAGTTCCCAGTTGGGTTTGTAGAAGAAGTTTGTACTTAGAGAGAGATCAAATCCATCCCAGTATCAGTAATAACAAGGGACAGTGGTGTGTAGGGCAAAATATTCAAACTGGGCCTGCCTAGAAACCCTCTAAATACCGGTTCTAAAATCCAGGAGTAAATTAAAACACCTTAAACTCTTCAAAAAATAGGGTCAGGTCTTACCTTTAACCACGTATCCCCCAAAAAGGATCCACATGGAAGCAATGAGGGATCCAAAAGCCATCATGAAACCAATGAAGAGCCAGATCCGAGCCCCTGCAATGGGATGGGGGATTTGAGACCCCCCAAAATCCCTGTGCAGGCTCTGGGGGGGATGTGGGACCCCCCAAGCCCCCCTGCAGGCTCAGTAGCCCCGTGGCTCAGAGCCCTGGTACCTGTCTGGCCCAGGCAGCCCTCACTGTAGCTGTCCCCTCGCACCTGCCCGTTGGACACAGCGTTGATCCTGGGGAAAAAAAATGGGGAAAAACAGGATCAAAGTGGCATGGAAAACTCTCCTTCCCATTCCTGACTGCACAGGGGAGCTGCTGGGGCCTTACATCAGGAATGCAATGGTGGCTATGACCCCACAGGCGTGGTAGGAATGGTTGAAGTCTTCCACTTGAGGGTATTTCACAGCAGCATCGATGATGATCCACCAGCCTGTGAAAAACTGTGAGGGAAAAAAAGAGTTTAAAATACAGACACAGCCTGTGAGAAAAAATATCATCAATATTTAAACACCCTCACAGCCTCCAACCCAGACTGGAGTGGGAACATCATTAGTTCTGCTGTGGATTTGGGATCGAGCTGGGATTTGCCCACTTCCTGGGAAAAACTGTGAAATTTAAATATAAAGTGGATGTTGAAACATCCAATGTGAAACACAGGGACAACGTATCCTTGTTCTTCCTTTCCCTGGAATCGCTAAGGCTGGAGCAGCCTTCTAAAATCATCGATTCCAACCACTAAACCGTGTCCCGAAATGCCACATCCACGTATTTTTAAAACATTCCCAGGCACAGCGACTCCAGCACTGCCAGAGGAGAAATTCCCCCTTTCATCCAACCTAAGGCACAACTTGAGGCCGTTTCCTCTCATCCTTCCACTTGTAACGCGGGAGAAGAGACTCCCAAACTGTTCCTAATTTTCGTTTGACGACAGAAAAGCCAAAAGAATCCCAAAATCCCGAGCAGGGCGGGGCCGTACCAGCACCCCCGCGGCCACTGAGGCGATGGTGTTGCGCTTCTCGCCCCAGTCCACGCACTCGGAGCAGCGCAGGCTCTCCAGGAAACCGGACATGGTTCAACAACTGCGGGGGAAAGGGAGATCAGAGAGATCAGGAAAGGGAGATGGGGAAAGGGAAATCGGGGAAAGGGAGCACAGGAAACCGGAGCGCGGGGACCGCCCGAGCCCGGGGCCGCTCACCCGGCACTGCCACCGGGGCGCGCCCCCGATCCGCGCACCGCGCATCTCCCGCGGCCCATCCCGGAACCCGGCGCATCCCCGGAACCCCGCGCATCTTCCGCACATCTCTCCCCGCGTCCTCCGCACATCTGTCCCCGCTTCCTCCGCACATCTGTCCCCGCATCCCGCGCATCTCCCGCACCCTCATCCCTGCACCCCGCGCATCCCCCGCCCCCCTGTCTCCGCACCCCGCGCATCCCCCGCGCACCGTGCGCGCTCCCGGCCCCGCGCATCCCCCGCACCGTGCGCGCTCCCGGCCCCGCGCATCCCCCGCGCACCGTCACAGGACGCGGCGGTGGCGGCGGCGGCCGCGCGCAGGCGCAGCGCGCGCGCACAGGGGGCGGGGGCGGGGCCGCCGTTCCCGGCGGGAGGGGGCGGGGCCAGCGCGTGCGCCGCGAGCGCGCGGTTGCGTAACGGGAGGGACGTTCTGGAAGGTTCTGGGCCGGCCCTCAGTCGCTGGCGGGCGGTGGCGGCGGGCGGAGGTTCCTCCGAGCTGCGCTTCTATCGCGATTCTCTAGCGATTTTTCTCGCCCTTCTGTCGCCGATCGCGGCCGGCGCAGCGTCCCCGGCGCTATGGGGGTGACGCACGAAGCGGGGCTCTCCCCTCAGGACCCGTGTGGGGGCAGCCCGGCGGGCTGGAGCCGGTGAGACGGGAGGGAGGGAGAGGCCGAGCGCGGCGGCCGCTGCGGAGGGAGGGCCGTGCATCGCTCGCAGTGCGTTTTTAATGTTTTTTATTGGTTTTGTTGCAGGAGCGCCCAGGTGCCTCAGGGGAACCAGCGCGGGGCGTGCCCGGCAGCGCCCAGCGGTGAGTGAGGGGATCCTGAGGGCTCGGGGGGTTCGGCAGCGCCGCTGTGCCCCCATGGACGGGGCACGGGCTGGCGGTGCCAGGCGGCTCTTGGGCTTCTCTGTTCTTCCCCTCCCAGCCCTCTGACCTTGGGCCTGGCTTAGAGGTGAGGTAGTGAAACTTTACCTGGAGTAGCAGCGAGAGAAGGCGCGTCTGGCAACTGTCTCGCAGTTTAAATTGCAGATTTCAGTGTGGATTTATTGTCTAACCTCCCTTTGCACTGAGCGCTAAATAGAAATTCCCTGTCGAAGCGAGCTTCCCTAAATTGTAAACTGGTTACGTAACTCAGGGCTTAAGTCTTGTGGTAAGATCCTTAACCCCGAGTAACCTTTGTAGCCATAAAATGGCTGCCACTCCCCGGACAGCCATTTTAATTATTAATACAGAGCCGTAAGGAGCGCTGCGTCCTGTGCGAGTCCCGGCTCTGAATCACCAGCCGGGCTTTGCGCTGTCCCTGCAGAGCGTGTTTAACAGCAGCCTGTTGAGTACTCTGCTGGGATGGGTGAGCTGTGTGCCACGAGTTCTGTGACACGATACAGGCGAGATCTTTGCTGCTTTGTGCTTACAAGATACTTCCCTTTCCTCTGTGGAATTGTAGCAGAAAACTGCTCGATTTGTACTGAGCTGGAAGAAAAATTGTTATTTTATACTGTAGACACAATGGGCTGTATTTAAGCTACAGGGGAGATAAAATACCTTGAAAATTCTTTTTAAGAGTGACGAGATTTTCCTCCTTAAACCCCGGACAGACTTCCCTCCAAAATTCCACTCACGGTTTAAACTGAAGCCTTTATTTTTTCAATGCAACCTTGTGTTCCGGTTTTGTGACTGACTGCAGGAGAGGGAATTGCAGAGCGGGAAGATGGAATTGTTACTGGGATAGTTACTGGAAGATGGCTGGGGGTTTTTGGGCTGTCTAATTCTCCCTGGCCATGCTGCCCGCGTGTCACGAAGGGACAGTGGGATCCGATGGATTTGGGTCTTTAATTCTGGGAATGGCTGCGCTGAGCTCTAGGGAAAGGCATCCCAAGGAAAAGGTGCTGCAGGAGCTGAGTTTGGGGAGCAGTTCCATCCCAGACTGTTCCCAGGGCAGGCTCTAAGCAGTTCCAGGGCGATACTCCTTTGGGATGAGGAGATACGATCCCGTTTTTACAGCAGGCACACAGGGGATTAGGGCTGGGATTGTTGCTGCTCAGGAAATGCTGAACCTGCCGTGTTCACCCACAGGAACAGAGACCGGGCACTGCAGAGCAGCAGCCAAAGGCGAGGCGGGCGCTGAGAACTCGGGGAGAAGCTCAGCGGGGAGAACGGCGCACATGACAGATTGCATGGACGACCTGAGCCTGGGCTCGCCCAAGCACAGAGAGTCCCCGGGCCGCTCCAGCCGCTCGTCCAGCCGCTCCTCCAGCCGCTCTTCGCGCAGCTCCAGCTCCAGCAGCTCCTCCAGCCGCTCCTCCCGCAGCTGGAGCCGCTCTCGCTCCCGCTCTCGCTCCCGTGCTCGCCGCTCCCGCCGCTGCTCCCGCTCCTATTCCCGCTCCCGTTCACGCTCCCGCGGTTACCGGCGCTACCGCAGCCGCTACCGACCCCGGCACTACCGGCACCGCTACCACCCCCGGTACCGCTCCCGGTCCCGCTCCCGGTGCTGTTACCGCCGCTCGTTCTCGCGGAGCCGCTCCCGTTCCCGCGGCCGGCGCTACTACGGCTTCGGCAGAACCGTGTACCCCGAGGCGTACCGCGGCTGGAGGAGCCGCTCCCGCACGCGCTCCCGCAGCCGCTCACCGCTGCACCTCAGCGAGAAAGGTACTGAGGCTCCTGGGGCTCCCTGGGTATGGGATGGGTTTTGTTTTGGGGGCTCCCTCGGTGTGGGATGGGTTTTGTTTGAGCTGGGCACGTTCTCTTCAGTGTAAAGCACAACTGCAAGAAAAGCTCAGTGCAGTTCGAAAAATGTACTTAATTATAATTTATTATTATTAGAACATTAGTATTTCTTACTATTTATCAGAGCGTTAGTGTCTATTATTATTTATCAGAACATCATTGGCACAGGGGATGGGCTGTGATGAGATCAGTCCCAGGTGATTCTTGCATAGATGCAGCACCTGCAGGTTTTAGGCTTGAGTAGGTACACATGGATTTTAATGAAACACAAAGCACTTCTTTTATTTTTTTCATTCCTCTTCTAGACAAGAGGGAACTCCTGGAAATTGCAAAAGCCAATGCTGCCAAAGCTCTGGGAACAGACAACATCGTCCTGCCAGCCAGCCTGAGGATCTCTGCTCCTGCCAAAGAGATGAAAAGTGAGAAGCAGGAGCGGGAGGAGGCCCGGGAGTCAGCTGAGGTAAGTATGGAGTGTTCTCCCTGCAAGGTAAACACCTCTTACACGTGTCTGCATGGCTGTGCTCTAGTTAGACTGTGCAGGTTGTGTTTTTGAGTTGAAACTTCTGAACAAAAACTTTTCCAGAAACTTTGAGCCTTTGCCTTAAGCTGGAGGCACAGAGGGAGGCCCTGTCTGAATGTTTGATCCCCTGAGTGTCCAGTAGGGACAGCTGGGGAAGGACAGACTTGGTCCTTTGGCTTGTTCTCCTGAGGGGATATTCCCCATGAATTCCACTCGTTTGTGACTTTGTGACATAAAACCACGAGTCTCTTGTCAAACTTAGTGAATACTGTGGGGTTATTATTTTTTTTTAAAAAGGTTAAATCTTTCTGCCTTTTTTAACTGTTAAAAGCTTTTCATGTGCAACAAACTGTTTCCCAGAAATCCCATACCCAAGCACACAATGCATTTTACATACTTTATTTCTGTCTTATAGAAATCATGACTATGGTTCCAGACATGAGGAAGAAAATCTGGTGGTAATTAAGGGACTTTGTGGGCTGTAGCTGCTGTGAATTGAAGGGAGGGAGAAACTCGAGCAGCTTCAAGTTGAATTTTAGTTTGGTTCTGTCGTGGTGTGTTACCCTGAGTCACAGTAAATACAAACCTGTGTGGCTCAGGTGCTGCTGGTGGAAAGGGAAGTGAATTTGCAGAGGGTTTGACACAAATGGTCCAGGCATCCCTTTCATAAACATATGCAATATATTGCAGATGTTGAGAGAGTACAGAAGAAGAGGCCTGCATCCCTTGCAGATAAGTTGATTGTTGTTCTCCAAAGCTGTGCAGGACGGGTGTGCAGAGCTGCTGCCACCCTGGGTGTCAGTGCTGTGCTGTGGCACTGTGCTGTGACCCTCAGTGCTGTGTGAGCTCTCTCTGGGGCCTGGCCTTGCCTCCATTCCCACGGGATGGGCACAGCTCAGCCTGCAGCCCTGGGCTCAGCACTGCTGTAGCTTTACAGCTACTTTGGATGAAATACTGAAAGGCTCCACACAAAGCTGTGCTGTGCTGTGGCTGCCCTGGCTCAGGGATCCCCTTCAGCTCTGTCTGCTCTTCTTTAGCAACCCGGGAGTGCAGCTGAGGACGTGACCAGGGGAGCAGTGGAGAGAGCAACAATCCAGAGGAGCATTTCCTTCAGCCCTAATGTGAGTGATGGAACCCCAGCACTGAGCCCTCCCCTCTGGCTGTTCCAGATCAGAGCTCAGCAACAACAACAAAAGGAATTCGGTGTTTGATAATGATTCCTCTCTAGAGCACCCTAAATACACCTCAGCAGTGTCTTTGAAATATGATTTGTGATTAATGAAATGAGATCTTGGAAATAATGATCTTTATCCTCAACCCGAACGATTTAAAACCAGAACTAGTTTAGAACAGCTTATCTCAAGTTGTATGTTTCAGTAATGCAAACTTAGGATTCAGGGATTTCTTTGTGTTAAGTGCATGTGATTGATACTCAGTATAAGCAACATGAATTCCAAGAGCTGGAGAGAAAACATTTTTTAAATTATGAATTAATTTTATTACATAATAATAATGTAATTATATTTAATTACTATATGATTATATGATCAGCACAGATAAACCCTTAGGGTTTTTAGGATCTTTTCTTAGAGGAAATGTTTTTTCTTTTTCCCCCCAGAACACAATGGCCAAGCCTGCCCTGCAGAAGCCAGTGAGCCATGCTGTGGTTAAGGACCCTGTGGTTTCTCCACCCAGGGACGAGGACAGGAAGGGAAGCCCCTATGGGCAGTGGGTTCCTGTCAAGAAGGAGGAGAAGAAAACATTCCTGAACTTCTCACCCAAAAACTCCCTGTTCAGGGCACGCTGATGGGAGTCACTGTCAGCCTGCAGCACTTCACACCCCTCAGCACAGAGATGGAGATTTCTGATGGGCTTGAAGATTTGTTAATACTGAGTATTTATTTTGAGGTCTTAATTTTTGGAATCTTAGGTTTCTCTTTCAGATAGAGAGCACACAGATCCAGAAGCCACAGATGGGAATCTTGTGTATATTTGTAAATATTTTGTATTGCTTTATTGGACTAGAACTTGCAGGTGGGTAACTTTTTTCTAAACCATAGTTGAGTAGCTGTTCTTTGAACACCTGGATTTACATTGTGTAACTGTTTACTGAAGTGAATAAAGTTTAGTTTTGCACTGGCTGTGTCAGGTGCTAGGCCTGTGTTGATGTGCTCATTGCTGGGTTTGCCCTGCACTCCCCAGGGGTGGATCCTGCTTCCTCCAGGGCCTCTTCCTTCCCTGGGCACCCTCTGCAATTGGCATTGTGTCAGATTTTCCTGCCACAGTCCCTTGGATGCTGAACTCGAGTTAGTGCAGGATTCAGTGGGTTTGGTTTGCCTTGAAATCAGCCTCCCTGTGGGGCAGGAGCCTTCCAGCCCTCTGCTCCAGGAGTTCAGGAAGACAAAGAGTAACTGGTTAAAATTGAGTTTTGTATAAATTATTAGTAAAATAAACTCAACTGGACTAACCGTGTCTGGAAGTTTCTTTAAGAAACCCTGGACTGGAGAGGAGGATCCCAGAGTTTATCCTGTCCCTGGGGGTGAGGCTGGACAGCTGCAGGGCTGGGGGGGCAATTCCACCTTTGGAATTGCTGAGGGACAGCAGGGAGCTGCCCTTCCATGGGAATGTCACTGCTGGCAAAGCAACCTGAGGAGCAGACACCAACTCCCAAATTAGACCAAAGATTTTATTTAGAGCAGGAATGGCAGAGCCTGACTGCTGCTATTTACAACCTAATTATGCAAATTACCTCTGGTACAATAAACACATCAACAGCTACAATCTACTTTTGATACAAATTACTCTTAAAAATGGTCTGAAAACTGCAAGGAGTGAGCTGAAAGAAAACAGAACCCCCTGGTTGTGTGTGAGCTGAGCTGTGCCAGGCAGATTCCCACAGCCCTGCCCCTCCCCAGGCTCTTTGATTTGAGCTGTGCCCCCAGGGTCACACAGAACAGAACCCCCAGGTTGTGTTTGGTGTGAGCTCTGCCCCCAGGCTCACACGGCCGTGCCCCTCTCCAGGTTCTGTTTGATCTCTGCCGTGTATTTCCCGTAGAACCTCTCAGCTTTCTGGTTGAACTTGGCGTTCCTCTCGTTGATGTAGTCGATGTCGGCGTCGTCGTTGTAGGGCCTCCTCCTGCTGTACTTCTCCCTTTTCTCGATCCTGGGAGGCAGCAGGGGCTGAGCCCTGGGGCTGCAGCACCCCCAGCCCAGCCCTGCCCTGCCCTGTACTCACTGTTTCTCCAGGTCTGCCACCATCCTGTCCACGCCGTCCTTGGTGGGCACGTGGGTGCCGTGCAGGAGGCTGTCTGAGGTGGGGTACAGAGCTTCCCCACTGCAGGACACAGCAGTGGGGCAGTCACACACCCAGCAGGGCCTTGTGACAACCCCACAGGGGTTAAAACCCACCCCGTGCCACCCCTACATCTCCCACTGTCCCAGGCTGCTCCAAACCCCAATGTCCAGCCTGGCCCTGGACACTCCCAGGGATCCAGGAGCAGCCACAGCCCTCAACACCCTCGGGGGGGAGAATTTCTTCCCAATATCCAACCTGAATTTCCCCTCTTTCACTCTGAACCCTTCACCCCTCGTCCTGCTCTCATGTCCTTGTGGTTTCACTGCTTTCCCCTGAGTCTCACTGTCACACTTCACTCAGCTGTGGAAACCCCAGATTCAGGTGACAAAATGTCAATATTGGCAATAAGGAACCCAAAAATGTCAATGTGAAACCCAAACTCTCCATTATTTTGAGAGGGACCAGCAGGTGCCTCTGAAAGACACAGAACCCCCCTGAAATGCTCAATCTGTCTGAATGCAAACTGGGCTGCTTAAAAAACCCAAACTGCCATGAAGTGACTGATCCCACACTGAAATGAACCTCATTAATTAACTAATTAATTAATTACCCCAGGACCCCTCCCGAATGAGACTAAAGACCATCCCAGTGCACAGGAGGGGAAGATTTCAGTGTTCAGTGTTTGCTGATCCCTCAGAGATCCCCCAGAGGGTACCAAGGAGTGGAATGAGGACTCACTATTGCTCCTTGAGCTTCTCGTAGTGCTCCAGGTCGGGTTTGATCTGCCGGGTCAGCCTCTGGTACTGGCGCAGCTGCGCCGCCGCGAAATCTGAGTCAAAAACGGACAGCAAACATTTCTGAGCCTGTTCCAGTGCTGCCTTCCACATCCTTTACAAATTATCCCTCACCCCAAAGACTTCTGAGCCTTTATAATCTCTAATTCCCTTTATGCATTGGCTTTTACAAATTATTCTTCACCCCAAAGATTTCTGACTCTACAGTTTGTAATTCCTTTTAACTGCTTTTGGATGTAGTAAAATCTGTCAGCACCATACAGCTTATATATATATAAATAGCAATGTGATAAATATATCAGTGTGATAAATGTATCTTAGGCCTTAGAATAATATTAAAACTATGTCACGTTAAAATTATTTTATATGTGTAACTAATTCAGATAATGGTGTGAATTATTCTTGGTATAACTCTCATGAATATACATTTAACCCATGTACTGTAAAAATGTAAAAGGAAATTGTTTCAAGCTAAAGGTGTGCTTTTGGCAGATATTGTCACTTTTATCCCTTATTAAATTCTGATTAAAAAAAATTAAATAGTGAGCCCTGTTTTTCACATCTGCACCAGAACTGGGACAAATCACAGCTTTGATCTCACTTTTCACCCAAAATACCAGCATGAGGTGTTCCTGATGAGCAGCTGAGCTGTTACCTGAGAACCCCAGGTCGGGATTTTTCTTCTTCTTCTTCCTCTCCCACCTCTCAGCATCCTCAGCGCTGATCTCCAGCAGCTTCACCCTCTCATAGTCCTCACCCCTGGCTGCACATTCCTGCAGGGCACAGACAACTCCCAATTCCAGCAAAATCCCAATTCCTGCAGGACACAGAGAACTCCCCAATCCCAGTAAAATCCCAGTTCCTGCAGGGCACAGAGAACTCCCCAATCCCAGTAAAAGCCTCAGCAGCCACCCCAGTTCCAGGTCCCCAGCTCAGCCCCCCCGTGCAGGGCAGGGACTGAAGCAATCAGGAGTTAATTGGCACACACGGATTTGGGGGTGACATTTGGCTGTGGGACTTTTTTACCTTCTTCTTCTCCTGCACCTGCAGCTCCCACTCCAGCCGAGCTTTTTTAGCTTCCCAGTTCGGGGGCAATTTCAGCCTCTTGTCCTCCTCCACCACCTCCTGGCTGTTGAGCTTGCAGGCCTCGTACTGGAACCACACACGGCAGCGCTCGAGCAACGGGAGAGAACAACCCCGAGGCCCCGGGGGGACACAGAACCGAACCGAACAATCCCAGAGCAATCAGGGAGCTCCGGAGATCTCCCAGCCCACCCACGTTCCCCGTACCCGCTTCATGTGCAGCTCCCGGAACCGGCGCAGCCGCTCCTCCCTCCTCTGCTCCGCCGCCGCCGCCGCGGCCGGGCCGGGCTCTGCCGCCTCCTCTTCCTCCTCCTCCTCCTCCTCGCTCTGCAAGACCCGCACTCAGCAGGAGCCCCGCGAGGGATCCGGAACCCCCGCCCCGCCCGATCGCGTCCCCGCCTCACCCCAACATCATCCTCGGGTACCCCCAAACTGCTGAGGGCCGACACCGATGCCGCCATCGCGCCCCGCCCGCGCTTCCGCCTTCCGGTGTTCCGGCATTTCCGGCGCTTCCGGTGCTTCCGGTGCTTCCGGCTTCCGGCGGGGCCTGACAGGCGCCGCCTAGCGGGCGGGAGGTGCCGCCGTCCCCGCTGGATCCTGGACTTCTTCAGTAAACCGGGAAAAAAAATAAAAAAAAAAAAAAAATCCCTCAGGTGTCCCAAAACAGGGGCAAAGTTAGAGCTTTCCAAAGCTTGGGCGCAACTTCTGAGCAAAGAAAGTCAAAATTTCCGTGGCATTGCTGCAGGGACCGGCTTTTCCCAGCCTTCAATGGAGATTTTTTACAAATTTCCATCTCCGTGTAAAACCTGCGTGTGCTCACAGGAGACGCAGGAGGGCTCGGGATTTTTGGTTTCCTGGGAAGAAAAGCTCCCAAAGCCCCTTTAGGTGGAGAATTGTGATGTTGAGCTGGTTTTCCCCGGAGCTGTGGCTCCAGCAGAGGGAATCGCAGCTCCAGCCATGAGGCAAACCCTGCTCGGCTCCTCTCCATCAGCTCCGCTTTCTGCCCAGCCCCGCTGGGGGTTAAAAACATCGAAAGGCACCCCAGAAAACGGAGTTGTCATCCCTTTTATCCTTTATTAAACCTTAAAAAAAAAAAAATAAAGAATAAGGTGTGTTTTTTACAGCAGGGCCTGGGGCAGGGAGGAGCAGCTTTGGATGGCTCTGGTGAGGGAAAGGAGAGATTGTCCTGCTGGGATTTGGGGTTTGGGACAGGGACAGGGACAGGGACGGTCACTCCTGTGTCCCCCCAGCTCTGTGATCTTCACTCCTGTGTGTCCCCACATCAGACCAGCCCCACAAGTGCCACCTGTGCCCACCCTGGATTTTTTGAGTCCCCCCAAAAAAACATCCGAGGTGTGGCAGGGTCCCCACCTGGCTGGGGACATCCGATCCCCAGGGCTGGGAGCGGGGCTGAGCATCCCTGGACACCTGAATTCCTGAATCCCCGAATCCCCGAATCCCTGAATCCCTGAATCCCCGAATTCCTGTATCCCTGCATCCCTAAATTCCTGAATCCCCGAATCCCCAAATCCCCTCATTCCTGTATCCCTGTATCCCTGCCTGCATCCCCGCGCCCCCAGCACAGCAGGATGAGGATGAGGATGAGGATGAGGATGAGGATGAGGATGAGGATGAGGATGAGGATGAGGAGGAGCTGGGGCAGGAAACGCGAGCGGGGCTGGAGAACTGAACACAGCCCCACACGAGACAGGGGACACGGGAGGGGACACGGGAGGGGACACGGGAGGGGACACGGGAGGGGACACGTGGCACCAGCGCTGGTGGCACAGGGGACACCAGGAGAGGACAGCTCGGAGCGGGCTGGGCTGGGCAGGGCAGGGGACAGGAGGGACCTGTGGGGACACAGGAGTGACCATCACAGAGCTGAGGGACACAGGAGTGACCCTCTGTGGTGCTGTGTCCACGCTGTGGCACTGCACACTCAAATCATGGAATTACACACCCAAATCATGGAATTACACACCCAAAACCTGGAATTACACACCCAAATCATGGAATTGCACACCCAAACCCCAGCCCTGCACACCCAACCCCTCCACGTCCCTGTCCCCAGGGCTGGGGGTCCCCACCTTTATTTTTCTGGGACCCTCCCGAGCCTCTCCCCTCCCCGTGCCCAGCCCCAGGGTGCAGATCCCTGACGAGAGCCCTGGGGGGGATAAGGGATTCTGCTCCCCCGGCCCTGGCCAGGATGTTCCCCTTCGAGAGGGCCAAATTCACCCGAGATGAGTCAGTTCCTCCGAGCTCCAGCCCCTGTTCTACATGGAAGTGGAATTTCTCATTTCATTTGGGCTCAGCGGGGGGAGGCAGAGCTGGAGGAGACAATGGAGGCAGCTCCGACCCGAGGGGAGCAGAGAAACACAAATATTCTAAAACCTAAAAATACACCCATGGCACTGACAGCCAGAGCAGCCCTGCCTGTGCTCACTGGCAGCCCTGCAGGAGGCTCCTGGACACCGGGATTTGGGAGTTTGGGAGAATTCCCTGCTGTGCCCAAAATTACAAAAAAAATCTCTCTGAAAATAGAGGGGGGGAATCAAAAAAATGGAGGAAAAAAATCAGGAAAAAGGTAGAAAAAATGGCTGAGGGGACACTGGGCACCTGCAGCAGTGATGCCTTGAGAGGATAGACAGAGTTAAAGGAATAAACTAAGGATTTCTTAAAAATATTTAGAAGTATTTATTAAAAATCCTTCAAAGGGTTCACCCTGGGCAGCACAAGAGCCTGGCTGAGGTTACACCCAAGATGGAACCAGAGTCAGGAGTTTCACATTTTGATCAGTTTGGGTCCATTTCCACACTGGGGTTCATTGTCCAATCCCAGCTCCAGGCTCTGCAGTCCCATCCTCCCAGATTCTCTCCTCAATTTGGTTTTTTTTTGCACTTTTTTGGGGCTGAAGCTGCAGATATCCTTGGCTCTGGGGCTGGACAAGGATTGTTTTGTGTGCCCGAGCTGGGAGGAGAACTTGAACACTTTGTATGAAGTTCAGAGTTATTTACTAATGCAGGGCAAAATCTGGGAAATATAAAAACCCAAACTTAAGGCATGGAGATGTGGCTGCCTGCAGGGGAATGGCACCACGGGATTGGAGAATCCTGGAATGATTTGGGATGGAAGGACCTTCAAACTCATCCCATTCCACACCTTCCAGTGCCAGCCTGGCCCTGGGCACTGCCAGGGCTGCAGGGGCAGCTGCAGTTCCTCCTTCTCTGTGCCAGGGCCTCCCCACGCTCACAGAGAGGATTTATCCCAAATATTCCATCTCTTTTGGTTTAAAACCCTTCCCCTTTGGAGCCCCCATTTCCCCCTCCTGGGGAAATCTCAGACCTGGGGGAAAATCTGCTTTGTGCTGGGGAGGAAAAGGGGCAGTGCCAGGGTTCCCACATGGCTGGGACTGGGTCCAGTGGGGCACTGGGATCCCTTTGCAAGCACCAGCACTGATCTGGGTCAGGAAAAAAACAAAACTGGGCCTAAAACCTGCACAGGGTTCAAGCAAACTTGTAATAATAACATTAATCCAGCAGAAAATGGGGGATTTAAACAGTTGGGAAATTAATTAGGGACGGATCTTCTTGTGTGTGGGTCATTAACCACGGGGAAATTTGGAGGGAAGGGAAACGTGGAGAGGGTTTGGTTTTTAGGTGGAAGAGAAGCTGGTTGTGTGTCAGGCTGGTTCCTCTCCATCACAGGCTCCTGTTTGTGTCCTCCTGGGTTGCAATTACAATCTTTCAGATCAGACACAAAATCATTGGGCTGCAGAGCCAAAAGTACCTGGCTAATGGGATTAACAGAAATTAACCTGGTTACGTGGGGACTCCATCGAAAATGAGAAAGTGCTGATGGCCAAAATCAATTCCTCCCCAGCCAAATGACTGCAGGCCTGGCTTAGGGTTTCAGTTTAATGCTCAGCCCTCCAACAATGAGCACGATGGGATTGAATTAGGTCCTGATCGTGGAGCTCAAAGGATGCCAGTGGTTTGTCTTTAATGCCAGCAGCCAGCCAGGGGGAAAATGGGAAATCCTCCCTGGAATCACAGGGAGGGTCCTGGGATGGGAAAAATGGGAAATCCTCTGGAATTTTCCCCCTGGAATCACGGGGAGGGTCCCTGGTGCCCTCAGGAGGGGCTGCCTTGCCCAGGCCTTCCCTGCTCGTGTTCCAGCACAGGATCAGAGCTGGAATTGGGGAAAAGGGGTTGGGGGAATGGGGTGGGCTGGACTGGGATCCACAGTGGGCTCAGGAAATGGAGTGGGATGGTTTGGGATCACCAAGGGCTGGGGGGATGGTTTGGAATGGGATGGTTTGGGATGGGATGGTTTGGGATCACCATGGGTTGGGGAATAAGATGGTTTGGGATCCCCAGCCCCAAAAGCTGCTCAATCCCAGCCGTCCCGGGCAGGGCTGCTCCTCCCGGAGCCTGCTGAGGGCGGCAGCTCCGGCAGCTCCTGCTCGCTCTCATCTTTTCCCTTTTTAAAAGCCGGAACCTGGCGGAGTTTCCTGCCTGAGAGCAGCTCGCTCGTTACCGCGCATTGGAAATTATCGGATTTTTTATCGCACACACCCCGGGGCTGCGCCACCTCCCCGTGCCTTTGTCCCCTCGGGCCACGTCCCCTGCCGTGGGATGGGGGTGTCCTGGATCCTGGAGCTCCCAAAAATCCATCCCGTGCGGGGATGCAGAGCTGGGAATGCGACAATTCACCAACTGTCCCCAACGCGGGGGGAGAGCTGCGACCTGGGGTCCTGCTGGGGGGGAGGGACAAGGGAGGGACAAGGGACAATCACGGTGGGCACAGAGAGCCGGGAGGGAGCCCTGGGCGCTCGGGATTTGCTCCTGTCCCCGCTCGGGACAGCCCTGGGGGGCGCCCCAAGGATGGAGCCACCCCTGCAGGACTCGGAGCCGGCGCTGGGGCTCGGGGATGCGGGATAACGTCACGTTTCCCCCGGATCAATGGAGATTTTGGTTCGGGAGTTATTAGGCCGGTATCATAAACTATCTGAAAACCACAAAAGTAAAATAATAAATCTCCCTGTTCGCCTCCTGCGCGGGGTTTTTAAGTAGCCGGGTCCCTCCAGGCAGCGGTTCGATATCGCAGCGGACACAAATCACCGAGACAGAGCCGGATTTTGGGGATATCGCTCAGGCTTTGCTGCTTTCCAGCACTCGGCCGCGGGCAGAGAAGCTCTGGGGCAGGGGGTGATGTCCCTGTCCCACAGAGGGGAAATTTGGGACGGCTCTTGCACGGGGAACACACTTCAGGCATCATTAAATCATTAATTTTTTTTTTTTAATTTATCATCAACGATCATTTAATTATCATTATCATCTTTATTTTCATTTAATCATTAATTAAGTGATAATTCAAATGAAGCTGGTGCTGGTAAAGGACTCGCACCCCCAAACTGGGGTTCAGTGGCTGGAGGGGGACGGGCCCAGCTTCTTCCAGTTCTCCCAGTGCTCCCAGTGCCCTGCCGGGGGTTTCGGGGTGTCCGTGCCAGCAGCAGGGCTGTGTCCCCTGTCCCCTCCCAGCCACAGGTTTGATTTTTAAAGCTCTTTCTGGTGGCATTTCGGTGTTTTTATCTCCGCTGCAT